CTTTCTGCGAGTCATGACGGTGCCTAACCGTTTCAGGCCACCAAGTCTTAAATGTCCATGTTGCTCTTGACCTACAATTATGTCAGAAGCTGGCTTGAATTGTCCGAGCTTTCTGATCTGAGGAATGATTACTCACCAACACTTAACCTGCCTTGGTTTGACTGACCGGAATGCTGGCTGGCCCTATCATCCTGATTCCTAGGTGGTGGCGGTGGTAGGGATTCTGCGGCGGCTGTCACTGAGGCAGTATCGCCCAGAACTCGGCACGGAGGAGAGGCGGGGGGGGAAGCAGCCGATGGAGGGTTTGTTCTTCTCGATACAGGAGCCCGGCCACCGATTGCTTTTGTAGTGAATGCCCTGATCTCTTCATCGGTCTGGACGTTCAACAGCGCATTGAGACAACTCTCAGCAGACTCTCTATCTCTTTCGATGCGATCAACCTCATGAGTCTCGTACTGGGTGAGAACATCCCTGAGATGATTAAGACGATGTTCATCAACAGCCTGTAGTTGCTCAAATACAAATGGGGCCCGCGATTCCCACTGTTGCGCCACATCCTGCGCCGCGGAAACGGCACTTGACGTCTTTGCGGCAGCCTTTGGTCCCTTGTCTTTTAATTTGTCCGCTTTCCTCGTCACGGATTCAAGCTCCTTTGCTAAATTTGCTAAATCGTGCTGCATGGTTGACATGGATTGCATATCACGATTTTTGGTGGCATATTCTCTCAAGGGCCGCTCAGCATCTGTCTCGATTACGCGGGAAAGGATCTCGTGGGAGGAGGCTAATGTTTCAGTAGCGGACAGTATGCGCTGCCAAGGCGTTCGAAACACACTACATAATTCGTTGTCAGAACGCCATTATCATTGCTTCGCGACATGTACAAACAATTCTTACCCCAATGCTTCATATTCATCTAGTTGCTGTCGGCGCGCAAGCCTACGAAGGCCCAAAACATAAACTTGCTCCACCCGTCGTCGTTCCTAAGTTGGGGGAGGGAGGTGTAAGGTCAGCTTCTGCTCAGGATAATTCTTTTCAAAAGGAAAATATATTGAAAACCAAATGAAATGAAATTCAGTACCGAAAGCCAATCTGCAATATCCAAGTTAACCTTGCTAATTAATCGCATGCGGTCTGTTAGGATGGCGCTGGCTTGCGTCGGCGTCAGGGAGGCCTAGGAAGAGAAGCAATGGGCAATTAGCAACCAGCAATAAATAATTACGGCACATCCAACTGTGCAATTACACTCCAGGGTAGTGTTCACTCACCGCAATGGCTGGATAGTCTTGCCGCGACAATTCCATGTTGAAGTGTTCTTATTAACACGATGACGAATTCGCTAACCGGAGGATTCATAACAGCACATCCCAAAGCTAGGATAAAAGATGCGCAAAAAATAAAAGAGAATATATGCAGTGGGTAGAGCTATGTCGGACCGTTCTCTATATCATTGATAAAGAAGAGAGAGACATATGTGGATGTTGACGTTGATGTTGACGTTGATGTTAACGTTGAGCAGGTATTTGCAGGGGATTTGGGAAGGCAGACTGGCGCCAAGAGAAGCAGCATCGCCAATGTCACGTGTCCCCGATCCTGGTTCAGCTGCGGATTATTAATCGTGAATTGGAAGTGATAGTTAAAAGAGGCATATATAAAATAGAACAGGCACAGACCGAGATTGACAGGACGGCGAGATGTTCTGTTTAACTAATTACTAGCAGAACAGAGCTATTATACCCTGATATGTTATGGTCAACAATTGCCGGTATACTTTTGCGGTACACGCTATCCAAACAAAAAAAGCTAGCTGAACTTATGGGCGCTGTGGCTATTTTTAATACAAGCCTCCACCATCAATACTGCCGGCCTATGGTACTGCACATCGGTACCAGATTAAGGCTATTAACCTTCCAATAAGTAGCAAGGAACATCCGTAATTTGATAAAAGCTCGAAGAGCAATTCCCGAGACCACAATGGCATCGAATGCTAGTTGGAAGTCGGATGTGGGGTTTTCAGATCGCTTGACCACAGTACGGTTGATGTAAGTTCGGTCTGCTTGCTTGCTCCCCCCCTTTCCTACCCTGTGATTGTGCAGGGTGCTTGGAATGTGCTCAGCTCATCCCAGCATGCAGAACTGCGGCGTATCAGCGCGCAGTGCCATCAGCCGGTTTTTCAGAAGCTCATGCGGAGGCAACGAAGGTGGAAAATGATGCTTTCAGTCATGCGTCAAGCAAAGTATGTGGTCTACGTTCCGCAGTATAATTCCTCCTAGTTGAGTTCGTTCTGAAAAACAGGGGCCCCGCAGGAAGAATATCAATTTAAATGTCAGAGGGCCATTGATGAGTGGGACGCAATGGAACAACTAGCTCCACCTGATGTCATTGAAAATGAAAGTGCAGCTGCATCTGAAGGGTCAAAACTCGACTCCAACAACGTTTCCGGCGGCAAGAAGATTGGCGCGTACGAAAGCGCCATATACCATCAAGAAGGCATATTCTCCACCGTATACAAAGCAAAGAGCATCACCGGAACTACAGTGGCTCTAAAAGTGACAACACCACATACCATGTCACCACCCCATGACTCCAAACGCGAAGCCCGCATCCTAAGTTCCCTCTTAAACCCCGCGATCATCCCATTGCTAGACAGCTTCAACCATCCAGGCGGCCAATTCGTCCTCGTCTTCCCTTTCATGCCCCTCCACTTTGACGAGCTCATGCGCCGCAACGCCCTCACCGCACGGCAAACCCGCTCGCACCTACGAGACCTCTTCCGGGCCCTATCCTACATCCATTCGCAGGGTATCATCCATCGAGATGTCAAGCCATCTAACATCCTCCTCCGCGAACCAAAGGGTCCAGCATATCTGGCAGATTTTGGAATTGCATGGTCACCTTCTGATAAGGCCTCTGAAGACGCTAATAAGAAAATCACCGAGGTGGGCACGACGTGTTACCGGCCTCCTGAGGTCTTGTTTGGAGATAAGGCGTATGGGACCAGCTTGGACCTTTGGGCCGCGGGCTGTGTTGTTGCAGAGGCGGTGGATATGGATCACAGACAACTTTTTGATGCGGGGGAGCTGGGGAGTGAATTGGCGTTGGTGCATTCTATATTTGTAACGCTGGGGACTCCGAATGCTAAATCGTGGCCTGTATGTTGTTCCACCATCATCTCCTCTTTGTGGTCTCTCACCCTGCCTGAGATATGACATGGCTCTTCGTCGCCCCCTGCTGTGCTTTCTTCTACTTGATATTTTTACAAGGGAGAAACTTGACTAACCGAAACCCCCTTGCAAACAAGTTAACCAAGGATCTCCCCGACTGGGGAAAGATACAGTTCAAAGACTACCCAGCGAAACCCTGGGCAGAAATTCTCAGCGGGGCTCCTCTCAACGGGCGCGATCTGGTCAGTAAACTGGTACGGTATGAGAGTAGCGAGAGGCTATCAGCTGCTGAGGTATGTATAAAAGACATCCATCACTGCTCCCCGATCTGTGATGGAATACGATACCAAATAGAACTCGCAAGCGAGATACAGATCCAGAAAGATAATTGCTAACCATAGAAACCATGGCAACGGCAGGCTCTAACGCATCCCTACTTTACATTCTGAGTAAAGCGTGACGTTGAATCGAGAGAAAAGATCAAGTTGCACAATTCATGCCATGATTTGATAGCCGATAATGCTCTGCACAATTTAAGGTTTTTGCATTGTGGATCATAAAATTCCATTCCTTGCCCTGGTCCTTTTCTTTGTCCCTC